CATTTGGTTTTCACAGATGGTCTTGAGATTAGTCTCAGATTAAAATAAAGTTGGGGGAACCTTTCCTCCCTGCAACAAAACGGCCACATGCCACAAGTGTTTGTGCACTTTAAAAGCGCCCACAGAAACCCTTGCAATAGAATGCAGACTATCAGATGAAATTATATATACAACACAACACTCGTTAGGTCTTACAACTGCACTGAGAGTGCTTTTATATTTATTTATTTATTTATTTATTATTTTCCCATATAGAGTGATTTCACTTGACTCATTAATTTTTGCTGTTGACTTGTAACTATCTAACACTTGTTGTTAGATAACGTCTTATAGAAGAAGTAGCATCGCCTTATTAAAATAATTATATAATATATATTATAGTACTATAGAAAATTTAAATGCATGATGAGGCAATGAAGCCTATGGAACCCAGTAAGAAAAAGGACTAGTACCTTTAAAAAACATATTATTAAATTAAGAAATAAATACTGGTGTTGTTGAGACAATCACTTAGCTTACACCATAAAATAATCATTAGTGTAGACAAAAATTTCCAGATGCGAAAAGGAGAAGAAAAAAGAGAAGGAAAAGGATTAAAGAAAAAAAGGTTGAAAGGAGTGAAAAAAGGGTAAACAATAGAAAAATAAGCTTATACCACGAAAAATGACTGTAGTGTTTAGCAATACAACAGGAGGGCATTTTGTATGCGTATGCGTCAATATTGTATGTTGAAGTGGCACAGAAGCATTTTCTGTGAATTGTTTACGTTCACTACCAGCATTTGCTAGCTGTTTTCTAGAGTTGAATGACGTATATTGGGAGCTACGTTCCACAAACGTGGTCTTTAAGGTATCGAGGTATTTCTCCGATGAAAGTGAGTTTATTGTAGCCTCGCTGTCGCCCTTGAGAGGACAGTCTTTCCTTTCGTAAAACAGTACATCGAAGACAAGATGGCGGCTGAATGTTGTTACGACCTAATAACATTTCGCGCACATTTTTTGAGCAGCAGGGAAAGGTCAGTATGATAATTTTCCTTTAAACAATCATGCTATAGATATTTAATTCTTCTCAACAATATAACTCTAAAATCAGTGGTAAATTAATTGTCCATTTTGCCGTGAAACTGTTTTTCACCCTTTTGCTGACTTGTTTATCTCGAAATCTTGCCTTTCTCCCCACGTTAAGTTAATGATTAATGAAACTAAGAATACTTCTGCGAATCAATGGTGCTTTGTTGAAGGGTGTGAAAAATCGCCTTCTGCAGTAATTTTAGCTTTCTTCACCGGTACGTCTTCGTTGAGAAATAAAATACACGCACTTCAACTATAAATTTAATTCAATATAATGATTCCAGTAAGATTGTGTTTGGAAAATAAGAAAATTCTATCATTTAGTTATACAAAGGAAAAAAATTACAGCACTCGGTTTGAATTCTGATTTTTTCCATCATAGTTTGATGGTACACAGTTTGTTTACATTTCATTATGTAAATAAATATAACATTTCGGCGTTTTTAAGAAAATCTAGCCTAACTCCCCAACCCCAAAATAGCACGAAATGAAGCGTTATCAATACACCTTTTAAATAAATCCTGGCTTCTGTTACCAAAAAATTGAACTTATTCCTAAATGATACCATTTTGTGGATATTACATTTGTTGATATACTAATTTGTAAAACAGTTTCATTCACATTCTCCTCTGTATTGAACCACATTCTTGTTAAATGCATCAGTATCTGCTTGATAATTCTTCCCATAGGGTTCTATGTGCAACTTACACAAGAGGTTCATCTGGACACAGTAACAAGCTCTCATCAGAAACATTAATAACAGACAAATTTGTGTCGTGTTTGTTGTTGCCTCCCAACTCGTTTGGGTCCTTTAGCAGTCACGGGTGGTATTTCTTTTTTGAGGAAACAGCATTATATGCACCCCTCTAACAAAATTGTAAGATAAATAAGAAATGTCTCAATTCACATTTTCCATTCCCATTTTACCATTCTTTGTTTAAGCAGCATCCCTATAGACTGATGAACACTGTATAAGCGTAAAGTTCGTGAAAAGGTTATCTAGCTTGTTTTAAACAAGATATTAGATGCAACGGCCTGGAAAATAATTTTTCTCTTTCCCGCACACTTCAGATTGGCCGAAAAATAAGGTGGGGGCCCAGCCATCTTCCATAGATTCGTTAATGCTTGGGCCCGGTTCAGACGCCGAACTTTTCATGAAACGAACCTACTGAGTCAAATATTATGAACGTATTTTGCAAGCAGTTTTTAAAACTCAGCCTGCATCTTTCCTCCTATTCAATTTAGTTCGGCTGGAATTAAGATCGGCTTGTGAATCAATACAGCCGGTCTGCATAATTTCGGTCGGCCTTTAAAAAAATTCGAATTAGGATCGGCTCATGAAACGTTCGGCGTCTGAACCGGGCCTTAAATATTTTCGGACGAGCTATAAACCCGTGCGGCGACGAGGCAAAATTTATAAGTTAAGAGAAAGGGGAAAATCACACTTTTAAAGTAATTTGGGTCATGCGTCTGCGCGGGAGACCCTGAAAGTTAAAATGTTGTTTTGTTTTTTGTTTTTTGTTTTAACAAATTAAGGAAGAGTGGAGTCCACCCCCAGTTCAGGAAGACCAAAAACCCCAGTCTGAATACGTTTATGTGTAAACCTCCACAAATATATGTGTGTATATAAGTGTGAAAGTATTTCAGGGAGAAAAATTACTTTCACAGAATTAAGAACATTTCTTCGCAGGCAATATCATTCACATAATATTCATTATTCATTATGAACATACCTGCATAGTTCTCAGTCATATCTTCTGTCCCCTGGGAAGCCTTGAGTTTTTTTCCTAAGGAGCTCAATGTGTTCAAAGAAACATCTGTTGAAATGAAAGAGACGAAACAGTCTATTGCACTGAATATGAATGTATGAAATAAAAGTGAAAAAAAAAAGCATACGTGAGTAGGTTGTAACCGCTCTCCATAGATTATTTCACTATTTTTTCTCAAGGCACCTGGATATAATTAAACCAAGACCAAAAAGTTCTGATGCAGCTCCTTTAAAACTTGATCATCGGTTCGTTGTGTCCACAGTGACCCTGATCCCCAGATGCAACATTTTTGTTTTATCAACTGATGTGATAAAGTGATTTTACCACCGTAAAAAAATCCAAAAGCCGACCTTTCGAGCGGTTTTAACGACGGTAAATTCATTTTCTCAACGCAGCTGATAAAGCCAATTTTTTTGTTCCAGTCCAGCCCCTATCAACGAATCCAAGACAGTCCGAAGACGTTCGCTCAACTCCCTCTGACCGTCAGAGTATCAGTCGCGCTGGATGCTTAGTAAGAAAGAAATCCGACTGGCCAAATTTAACAGGCTTAGGTCCTGCTACAACAAACTTCTACTGTGTCAGGTACAGTAGACATTATTCACTTGACTATTTTGTTCTGGTAAATTTATTGTCTAGTTACATACTTATGGAACAAGATGTTATCATGTGGGCAAGCAGTTTTCATTTCTGACGAGACAATACATTGAAACAAATACCACTGAGTGAGGTCTATTGCATCGGTTCAGTTACAATTAGGTATTAAATCTTCTCTATATCGTCCACTCAAAAAAAGGGGGCACCCTCCCCCTGCGGGGACCCTGTGCGGTACATTACAAAAAATAAGGAATATCAATACAAGAACAATTTATTATGCTCTATAAATACTCATAACAATACTTTGTTACGGTAAGGGTATAGTACTAAAAATTTTTATAGCACTCAACTCTCTTAGTCCAATGGCGATAGAGATAAAAAGAATAATAAGGAAAATACATAAATTTATGTACAGTACGCTTGGAAGTGCTTTACAAACATCCAAAGCATAAACTTGCCTAATCTTTACCTTTCCCCGTGATGGGGTGCCCACAAAAGCCTTTAAAAAGCCATATGGATAACTGATGACATAAATGTATATACAGTAGAACCCTGATAACTCGAACTCGGATAACTCGAACTCCCCAGTGCCAGTGGAACTAAGTACATAGGCATTACCAACAACATCCAGGAACTGAATGATGAAATCGATATGACCAGCTCAACATTAAATGCAAATACTCCCTGGGAACATCAAGAAAAGGCTGTTAACCTTTGTGATGCTGCGATTGCATTCATCAACAGTACTAGTCTCAAGTTGCCACCACTCTATCTGTGACCACATTTTGCGAGCAACAGATGCTGGTCAAGGATTAATAGCTGGACTCACATGAACAGGATTCACAGGGCACCACACGATTCAGGACAAAACGAAGCGGAGCGTTCCAACGCTGCTATAGGTAAAGCTTTGGTTGATGGCAGAGCATTGCACTGGGAATACTTTCAACCAACCGATCTCATTAGTGAAGATTAGAAGAACTGAAAACACTCACAGTTGAAGAAATGAAAGAGCTAGAGGCAGAAGCAGTGGAGCGTAATGCATGGAGAGTTGCCCAGGATGTTGTATCAAGAATCAATGGCGAGCCTGGACCAACTGGTGACTGTATGAAGGCCTTTGTCACCAATCGTAAAGAACAGCAGTTCTTTCAATACCGAATACATTCAGCAATACAATGCTGCAAAGTCGGAGACGAGAAAAGTAAAAGTCCCAGGACACAACCATTTCAAAAAATTAGATGACTTCTTAGAATCCTGTATGATTACTGGAGAAATGTTTCACGAGTATTGTGAAAATGAGTCAGTGGATCCCACCCCTCGTCCAGTTCCAGGCATCAACAAACTTCCAAAGTATCACTATCTGCCTGTTGCAGAAACATCCATCACAAATACAGACTACGGTAAAAGAAGAAAAGTGGATGATTATCACCCTAGAACACGTTCAAAGCAATTCCACAAAAAGAATGAAATCAATATCGAGGATAGTGCAAGTGTTCAGACCTTTTGCAACAGACACATTGTTGAAGAAAGTCTTGTGAAAAAATACCTAGAACATTTAAATCATTTAGAGATGATGAGTGAGAAGAGAAAAATGGAAAAGAAAAACAACAATTTGAAAGAGAACACAATGTCTTATGAGGAATTTGACTGGATGGAAATGCTGAATAGTGGAACACTAGCAAAACAGCGTGTATGTGTTCTGGACAAATACATCCATAAACATAATTTGCTTGCAGTGAAGGGTAAAAACAAACCACAGAAAGTCAATGGTATTATGGATCACTTACGGTCATTTGCTGAAAGCACACAAGCAAACAAACAAAGCTCCCTCAGTGTGGAAGAGGTGGATGATCATGATGAATGTGAAGTAGATGAAGGGGATGAGGCATTACCCACTTGTCCTGGTGATGAAGACTTTGTATTGGGAGAAATAGGAGACTCGAGTGATCAGCTGTCAGAATCAGAGTCAGACTCTTAATGCTGTCATCTAAAATGTATGTATATGGTATTACAAAGAACAGATTAGAAATATATTTTGAGTTTTCATAAATACTGACTCACCCTATTGTATTGAAAGAACTAGATTTTATCGTTTATACAAGAGGAAGAGGGTCATGATATTTAATGCCAAGCTCAAGGGGAGGGTTAGCAAATTTCACTCCCATTGCAGGGATGGGTCACCTCATTTCCGAACCCAAATTTAAAATTCCCACCCCCCTCCCCCCCTGCTAATTTCTGGCAAGCCCCTAAATAAGAAATGTCTCAATTGACATTTTCCAGATTTCGCTCCTTCCTTCCTCCCTTTCCCCCCATCCATGCAGGATGTCAGACCCTGAAAGTTTAAATATTTTTTTTAACAAATTGAGGAAGAATGGAGTCCACTCCCAGTTCAGGAGGACCAACACCCCCACTCTGAATACATATACGTTTATGTGTAAACCTCCACGAATATAAAACAATTTTACTGTCACGACGGTAAAATATAGTTAATGGAACGTGATGCTATAAGTTATCAGTAACTCTTTCGTGGCGGTTCTTTTTCAATAAAGCAGTTGTGCAGTCAAGCTGCCAAGGTCAGCAAGTTCTAAGATACATTGTATTCTAGCGTAGAACTTTACGGCCTTGTTGTCTTTTTTTTTTTTTTTTTTTCGCACACACAAACAATTACAATACATTTCATTTACAATTCGTTACAGGTAACTGTTATTGTTTAAAAAAAAGGAAAAAAAAAAAAAAAAAGGACAAAGCCCACAAAAAAAATAAAGTATAAATATTAACAATTAAAGAAAGGCAGCCGAGCTTATGTTCCTCCATCACCCATC